TATTTTTATTGAGGCCCAAGCCCCGGAAGAATTGTTTTTCATGCTGAGTATAAAACACCAGTTTCCGAACCATGCTGCTGTTAAATGACCGGATTTATGAGCGGATCATCGCCATACATTTAAAAACTTGTTTCAAGACAAGTTTTTGGTAAGTGGGTCATACTGTATATATAAAGGTGACATAATCATCGTCTACTGTTCTAAAGATAAGATTTAAAGATACCAAAAATAAGTTTATATCAGATAAATAAAAACTGGGAGGGTTATGATTAACAATACCACGATTTAATGTGTGAAACGCCTTTTTAAGATCCAGAGAGAACTGCACAGAGTTCTTCACTTTTATCAAATGATGACTTAAGTTGTTCTATAAAAAAAAGCAATTAGCAGTCTCTGTGGAATAATTCAGGTGGAATCTAATGGCTGTAGATAATGGTTTGACTCTACTTTCTTCGTGGTGAGCTACAACTTTTACTGAAGATTAGAAAATACAGGTACGATACTAATTGACTATAATTGTATGTCTGATGAGCTGCTCCTGATTTATAAATTAGCATCACTCTGCCTTATTTAAAAAAAAGGTCCTGATGATAATGGAATGGTTGACAAAATCCATAATAGGTTGTTTTTGTTTGTTTTTTTACTTTTGTAAAGGTAGTGCACTGGTTTAAAATAAATGAATTGATTAGAAAAGCACTTATAGTTACCAACCAACTGACCCCCAGTTTTATGTTTACTCATTGTTGGCTGTAGCTGTGTAGTATTTATTTCCTTTTATTGCTGGGTTAGGGCTATGATACTGATAATGAGTTACAGTATAAGCAGCATGTGCCTTAAATCTTGTATAACACGGGTCTCTTACACTGTAGACTTTATTAATAGAGCTATGTTCATGAATTCATTGAACTTCGCTGGACCAGGTTAAAAAAATTTTATTTGATTGATTGCTATTCATTTTTAGTAATCAGTTTATTTATATAGAACTTAGAGAAAATCTGCCAAAAAATCTGATTAAAAAAATACAATAAGAACATCATCAAGTTCCTGCCTAAAATTGTCCCATTTTACAACAATTAATATATTGTGTATAGCTTTAGGTTAACAGTTAACTTCAGTTAATTTGATGTTGTAGACAGCACTTCATAAGAATTAATTTGTGCCCTGACAGATTTTGTGATTTGCATGTCATCTTTAATAATTTGATAGGGGTCAAATGTTGTAATTGACATTTGAAGTGTTGACCGATCGTTGTTATAATCACCAAAAAGAGAAAGATTTCAGATTTTAGGTTGATTGATTTCTGTAATCATTAACAACACTGTCACAAGCAGGAGGATTTTATAAAATCATAATCCAAAAGACCACTTAAGACAAAAAAGTAATAGCTATTAAAAATTAATAGCAAGAATCAGACTCTATTACAATTGTTGAATATTTATTGAGTTTCCAGTGGAGATTATTGCTCCCTCTCCTTTCCTAGTTTTCCTGTGCTTCCAGTTTGTACCCAGGGACATACATTAATAACAGCTTTGAATCAATTAGCAATGTCTTATTTAATCATGTTTAGGAAATAAACTGCAAACTCTAAAATGTCTACCAAATATTCCCTTTGGTTTATTATATATAGGTCTCATATGACTTTTACATAATTGATGAAGTTTATGTTCACTCAGTAATCTTCTCCTGCAAATACTCATTTGAGACTTTGTCCAGATCTCCTATCATGCAGGTCCCTCTTTGCGCCTTATTCTTTAGCATTTTGAGACAGCGAGTGTTCTCCATGTGGCTTCCTTTTCCCTGTTCGACAAAGCCGTTGTCACTCTCACTGTTATGGCCCCCTCATGTGACTGCATCTCCACAGTTGCATCAGCCACTGCCACCTGCCTTCAACCAGAACCAAGCCAGACCAAATTCTGTCATTGTTTTCCAAGGTCTTCAACCGTGTATATGGCTGCTGCCAACCGGGTTGACAGTTGAAAAATCCTGTGCAGCTATTACAGTCACCAGTTCCACAACAGTGAGCCATGCCAGTAATAGCACCCACTGCCTAAAGGCCCCAGCAATGCCAGCCTGCTTACTGGCATCATTACTGTAGCTTGTGTTGTCTGAATTCTTGCAAAATTACTATTTAAATAAACAGTAGCCAGAACAGTATATGAAAGAAGAACTGGAAACAGTTAGCGTTAGCTAGTATTATCTATGTGTCCCAAGAATCCATAAAACATAGTTGGAGTTGGCTTGTTGTTCCTTCTTTGTCAAGATGGTGTCATTATGTATCTTATTTCTTTGTACGAGTAGCCAGCTAATGTCACTACAGGTTGTGAAAATGCATTTAAAAAGGCAAAAAGAGAATAAAACAACATGATGCATGCCCAACAGGTCATGCTGATTTGTAGCTGCCTGACCTGCCGGTCTCCACCAAAGCTCTATATTCTGTTCAGGCTCTTAATCTTCTTGTAGGTTTCTAGAAAGCCAACATGATAAATGTGACATTTGATAACTTAATGGTAGCTGATTTCTACAAAGGGAAGTTGACATTAGCGCTACTTGAAGCAACACATTTGCTTCAGTAAGATCACTGTGCTGGCATAACTGGGCTGCTGACACAGAGGGCTCCAAAAATATATCCTGGCGCAGAAGTTACAACATATTCAGCAACATATTCACCAAGTAGCTGACTGGAACACCAGATTAATTATTTTGTTATACGAGTCCCACATTTCTGTTATTATTTGGCTGTAGATAGAGGGTAGATGGGATTTGAGAACCAATGCATTGGAATACCGTGCCTCCAAGTTTAGAAATTCCCTTTATTAATACTGATATGTTTTTTTTCTGACTGTTGTGCATTGCAAAACAATGACTTCAAACGCATGGCAGCGGCCCCCATGCTGCTCTGTTTCTACTAAGCAAGTTGATGCTCAGTAAGGAAAATGATAAAGAACATACTAGTAGATTGGATATTGGCATTATTATTAATCAAAATCTCATCAATAACAAATCGGTGTTGTTCACCAACAGTCCACTTACCTTCTGCTGTCAACGAGATGACACAAATGTTGGCATTTAAGCTTAAAGTTGGTATATTCATATCATTATCTTTGTTTATCTAAAAGTAATATAGCATGATATACAGTCTGCATTATTCATTCACCCTATAATTGAAAAATGATGGGCAGATTAAACAAAGTCGCTGTACCAACCATGGCTCCAGTTCAGAGCATAAATTTGCTCAGTAAATACCATCACGCTCAGCCTTTTACATTATGCATAACACTGTATTGCATCTATCAATTAACAATGCATGAGGTATTCAAAGAGGACAACGCATTTATTCAAATAGAGCCTGTTTAACCAGTATCGATGAGGTCCACATTGCTTCTGACTTCTGTGAGTTATAGCGTTCAAGTCCGAGTCCACCAGACTGACTGCGTTTTCGGCATGAACGTTGGAAAAAGTTTCCTAATACCGTAAACTCTCCGTTACAGCAAATAGAGGATTGAGAGGTTCACGCTTTAACATTCGCTGAGTCTCGTGGTGTGAGTGCATCCACTTTTGTCTGCTGTGCCATTACTGTTTGCAACCTCTGTGCTTACTGGGATCTTCCCTACTGATCGGGAATCTACAGCACATTTCATGGTCCCCACCTCAATTTCCTCCAAGGTCATGAGAATAAAAAAAAGGATTACATGGGCAGAGACCAAAAATTCCCCGTGAAATCATGTTCATTGCCTGCAAATTGATGTTAGAAGATGTGGCATTTGTTTCACGCAAGGCTCAAGCTTATCACTCCTGCAAAAGCATTATTCAAATAAGTCATCTTCTTCGAATAATGAATGGTTCTGTTAATTCAATGTCAATCAGCCTATTATATTTTGTTATCAATTTGTATTCATTCTGGTCTTTCACTGGAGGAAATGCCCAAGGTCAATAAAAGCATTAGGAGTTGCTGTAGTGAGTACAGAAGAGGAGCGGACCTGAACAGGCATCAAGATAACGGATCAGGGCATCACCAAAGATCTGCAAGGTTTATAAAAGAAATAGAAAAGATTAGAAAACATTTTTCTATTTTATTTATATTCCCAATATGTTTAAAAGCTTGTGAGAGGGTGATTGACTACTAAATGGATGGTTTTGATGGATTGCCCTGTTGACTAATCACTGCTGATATCCTTAGACTGTGCTGCTGGTGAACAACAAAAAATGACAAGGATGTCAAATGCTTATGGGAAATGGTAGGTGAAGATATAGCTTGCAGACCCAGGGGAGTACATTTATGTACTACTGCAAAACACAGCACAAGGACAAGATATTAGCGACTCTTTTGGGCAAAGAGACAGACAGACCAATTGCATGCATGATGCATTGTTAGGATTTATTCAGATCTCAGCAGCTCTGGAGAAATTGCATTTGTAGTTTAAAACGTTTCCTTTCAAAAAGCTTCCTGATTTTCCTGTGCTCAAGTATCATTTTTCTGTTATCAAGTTACAAATTAATACCAAGGAGACTTCCTGGAGTCTCCTACAGTGTTTAAATGCACAAAATCCTCCAAAAATCAACATAAAAAGAAAAAAAAAACTGAATGAGTTGGTGTATCTGTTCCCTTCTCCAACAGACTAGAAAAAAGGAACTCACATAAATAGGCTTGGGTTGTTTTTCCTGATAAATTTTAAATGGATTTTCTGAAAATGTCAGTGGTGTATGACTCTGCTACAGATACATGTTATAGTAGCAGTGAAGTTGTGTTCATATATAATTCTGTAAGATAGAAATGTTTGTTTTTTTCCTCATTGTAAGGTTTTTTTTTTATGTTTGTAGTCCTGCGATTGTATATGCTCTCTGTGCAAAATGAAAATTGTGTGGTGGGAATGTATTTAAATCAGCACTGTTGTAATTCGTGTGTACTTTTTGAAATGCCTCTCTTCCCATCTCTATTTTTCCAAACATGCTATTTTGAATTTCCCTGTGCCTCTCTATGTCTCTCCCTGCTTCAATAACAGGGACCCATGCAAAAAAACAGGGCGAGGATTTATCGGATAACGACGGTGATGAAGATGAAGGTATTTTCCATGGTGATCAAAGATGGTGCATGATTTTCTTACAAAAATGAAACTGTTTTCTGATCATTTATGGATTTTTTGTTTTGTTTTCTTTTGTTTTTTTGTTCCAATTCCAAATGCAATCATCAAGCACCCCTGTCACATTTCAATCTGTAGAGCAATGTAGTGAAAAAGAGTGCATGTGTGTGAATGTGAGTGTACGCGAAGGCTCTTGTTCCTAAGCATCTGAATTCAGTCAGTGAAAGGAGTGTTTAGCTTTAGAGGCAGATGGGATCTAGTAGCTGTCTAGATAACCAGGCTCGGGTTGAATAATTTTAATATCTCACACAGGGACTGGAGCAACTGTTATTACAAGGGGAGAGTCGGTAGTTAGAGCCCCCTTTTAAGGTGTGGCCAGTAGCTGAATTGGTGGCGATAATGACAGAGGGAAAGTGAAGCAGCAGTGTAATATCAGACTGTTCACCCGGAGTGCCGGCAGATTTAGATGAGGAGCGGCAGTTCAGGAGTGCTGCTGGAGAGGATTAGAGGCGAGAGGTGTAAAAAATGGGAAGTTGCTGCTCAGCAATCGCATTGTTCGCTTTCCATATTTATCTTGGGATATTCCTGGCTCAGGGTGGATCTCTGCTGAGATTAGAATGAGAGACGATTCTTGTGCTGCAACAGAAACGGCTTAAGTGTCTGAATCTAAATCAAACCCTTGATATCGCCCCGCCCTTGTTCTCCTTTGCCATAGTAGGGCAGGTGATGCGAGCATGATGTCGGGTATCAAGGTAAACCCCTTGTTTTATGCTCCATTTGTTTGTTCTGGACAGATTGGATCTTTGCGCATGATGTGTATATTTGGTGAAAACGATTCAACTGAATCTGGAGGGAAGCTTTTTGGGACTTTAGCACATGTTAAGGACTATGTTATGGACTGAACGTCACACCAAAGCGCCATGTCTTATCACTCATTTCTCTTAGATCCTGAAAAAATGAGCACTGGATCGATCCTGCTTTGGGTTCTTTCCAGATATAGGGTCTCTTCTCACTCCTTGCTCAGTGGGCTGTTCTCTCAAAAAGGAGCCTCATGCTGGCCTTGATCACAGAACAGGAAGAGTTGCCATAGCACCACTCTGACACACAGGTGTTTCCTCATTCAAGCCCAGGGCGAGCTGTTGCAACCGAAGCCAAATTGCCTTCAGTCTTCAGCTCGACTGAGTGCGTATGTGCGTGCGTGTGGAAGGTTCTTCTTCCTTCAAGCAAACCCACATGCGACAGTATGCAGCCCTGAGTCCGTTTAAAATTGCTGACAAGTGCCGATCCCTTTGTCTGGCAAGTCTATGCACGCGTACACAGTGGCTTGGTCTCCAAGCTGTTGTGCTAGACTAGCCTCACTGAAAATGTGACAAGTCTATTCTTTACTGAGCGCAACTAATGCTATTTACAGAGCATCACCGTAGAAGTACAAAACAGTCCCAGCAGAGCCTCTGAAACACTACTGTAACTAATGCCTGTGTGACAGAGTTGGCCATCAATCCCTAAACATGATCCAGAAGATTTTTATTGTTCCGCTGAATGTGTGGAACTGTCATGGCCCAACATATGAACACCGCTGTTCAGGGACTCCTCTTTGTTCCTCTGTAATTCCCCCCGCAGAGAGCTGATGCCTCAGGAGGAAAAGACTTTACTCCCTGAAGGAGTAAAGTGCACAAACCACAAAGTCCTTGTAAGTCCAACGTACATTTGCTCTCACAGGTAGCACTGCTATTATTACCAAAAACTGTGCCTACAGTCAAGGGATCACCAGTGAAGTTTAGACATTTGCACTCAAGTTAAAGGGCAAGTAGAATCACAACACGAGCATGACTCGCACTCTCACCCGAGCTGAGCTGGTGCACATCTTATCCACACATTCTCATTCAGTTACGAGAGCTACTGTCTTGCCTGCTTTCCCTGTCTAACCCCCTCCATCTCTCAGTCTGTTCCTCCCAGCATTACCATGTGGTCTCAGTTGGCTGTCTGTCTATCCTGGCCTAATTTGCTTCCTCCCTACAATATATCTGAACTGCCCTCCTCCCTGCTATAGCCCCTCCAGACATGTTCTCAAAGTCAAATCAAAATAAATATTGGAACAATAAAGAATTTCTTTTATTGCCAAAGAAATATAACGTATGGAATCGTAATATATAAATTTACAATAAAGAGGGTGGCTAACAGCCAGTAAAAGTATTCAAATGAGACAAAGAGATAAGAGCAATGAAATATGTAGTCTGGAATATATTATACTGCACTACTATTATATTGATGTATTTCTTTCTAAGGCTCCATGTTTTTAACATATCTGCCTGTTTATCCCTTCCTGTGTCTTGCTGTCTGTCCCTTTGTGTGTCCATCTGTCTGTCTGAGTAACATTCAACCCACTGGCACCCCCAAAGTGCATTCAAATTCTGCACAACACTCCCGCCTGCAAAACAAGCATGGAGGCCAAGTTGCTGTGATTTACACCAGCCCACAATCAAGACTCAATTTTACAGACGGTGTTATTGCACTGTAAAGGGGAGTGCAAGCTTTCAATCACCTACCTGCTGTTGTTAGATAAAGGTTGGCATGTAAATAGAGTAAGCGAGTCCATGTAGGGGCTAAATCTTCCAGGTGGAACATAGCAATGGTGCTGAGGTAGAGCGCCTAGTGATAGCCTGTGAGAAGCAGCAGTCTGCTCTCCACCTATGCACTGTCTTGCGCCACTGCTGCCTCAGCCCTATCCCAATGATGAAAAATAGAACTGTGTGTTTCTGTCTTTTGGCGCTTTGAGACTTAGCTCTAATCAGAAGGAATACCTCCACCGAGAGTGTGCTCGCACACACTCAGACATGTACGCTCGCATCCATTAAATCAGTGCACACACAAACTTGCTTGCTGCCCAGCTCTAGAAGCAAACACTTATGAAGACAGCGAGCACATGCAGATACACGCAGACTTACCCCCACCCTTAGAGATGCTCGGGCTGTGCCAGAGAGCAGAGCTGAGCTCCACCTGCCTGGGTATTACCATTAATTCCATCGCACAGGCCTGACTGGATCCCTATCCAGCAAAGCCCTCAGCTCAGCTCAGGCAGCCTGGAGAGTGGCAAATCGACAGTGGGGGCAATTCACACACCATTTTCTCTATTCTGCCACTATCCTATTCTCTCTGATGTGGCAGAGAAGAGGAATCATGCCCCTTGAAGCCCATTTATGCAGAGATCTTTGGAATGCTACTGCTCAGCTTCTTTCCAAGATAAGCATTGCTGCTAATGGCTGATCCACACGGGCATCATTTGAGCCATTTCAAAGGGTAGGAGAGCCAGACTGGTACTGTCATCTTTATTTTTTTCTTTGTCCTTTCCTCTTGAGTGGCACAAAATAATTGGGAAGGCAAAACATGTAAAAACAGACTTCTTTTGAAAAAATTGTCAGGAATGGAGTGGAGAAAGGCTTTGAATTAGTTCACAGAGGCACTTTGACTCTTTCCTCATACAATGCCAGAGCAGGTCTGAAGGGTTTGTGCGCTGCAGTGTGTTTGTTCGTGGGCTGTCATCGAGCTTGCAGTGTGTTTGTACAGTTACCAGCTCTTAAACTCATGTCAAGGACAGCAGGCTTTATTGAAAGACTAAAGGGTTACTTCTCTTTCATTCTGGCAGCAAACAGCTGTCTGTGAGTCTTAGGGATGACAGCACCTCTACTGCTTTCCTCCTCTAAACTAGATCCTGGCCAGCTGTAGGGGGATTTGGCTAATAGCCTTTGTAGGTTTTTCACACTGTCTTTCTTTTCATTTAACTCAACCACTGGCTATCCCTGTGTTTCATTTCTCTATCCTCATGTATTTACACACTCTATCTACCCTGTTTCCAACATCATATTTAACACACATGCACAGCAGCCAGGAAGCAAGATGTCATCTTCACACAAAGGTCATTCCTCCCATTAAGTTTACTGTAGTCAATGTTCCTAATAGAGGCGCACACGCTCACAAGCTTCTCCCTTTTACTCTATCCTATTTTCAGTTTTTTAATTTTATTTTATTTTAGTTACTCAGACATATCAGGTATGGAGAGCAATCACGTAGTCTAGCGCAGAGGTGTTTTAATACATATATGACAATATCATAAATATTTTAATAATTGGAATAATTTGGTTACAGACTGTCTCACTACTGTTCACTCACTGTTTGGTCCATAAATATTTGGACAATGATTCAAAGTTGGCAATTGTTCAATCCACAATGCGATTGAAGACTTTCATCTTTAATTCAAGGGGTTTAACAAAAATATTCAATTAATTGTTCGCATTAACTGTGATCTTTCAGGCAAAAAGGTCAAGTGGGATTGTAAGATTGTAGAAATATTTCTACGTTAAGAAATTACACCACATCTAGCCAAGTCAGGAATCCTCTCTAGGAGGTAGGTGTATCATTGTATACAACCAAGAGATGCCTTCCAGAATAAAATCCAGAATAAGAGGACCAGATTAGACTTTCCCAGAAAATATCTAAAAAAAAAAGAAAAAAGATAAGGTTAACTTGAGAAAGTGCAGAGAAGAAGAGAAACAGCTCATGATCCAAAGCAAAGCACATCATCTTCAAAGACAATATTATGGCAATGACATGTTTGGCTGCCACTGGAACCGGGTCACTAGTGTTTATGATGATGTGACTGCTGATGGAAGTAGCAGGATGAAGTATACAGTTCTGCCCTCTCTGCTCAGATTCAGCCTGAGAAATGCTGCAGAAATGATCAGACAGCCCTTCACAGTGCAAATACATAATGACCCAAAGCACACTGGAAAAGCCAAGAGTTTCTCAAGACAACGAAATGTGAAATTCTTCAGTGGCTAAGTCAGTAACTTGATCTCGACCCAGTACAGAGCAGCTTTTAAGTCATTGAATACAAAACTGAATGCAGAGGAACCGACAAACAAGCAGCCGAAGGAAGCTGCAGTAAAGGCCTGGCAGAGCATCTTAAAAGAGGGAACGCAGCACTTGGGAGTCACTGACTACAAAGGCTCTTGATCCAAATATTAAAAACAATCCTCATATTTAAAATTATATTAGTTCATCCAATTAATTTTGAGCCTTTGAAAACAGGCGACTTTGTATAAAAACTGCTGTAATTCCTAAACAGTTAATGCAATACATTTGTTAAATCCCTTAAATTAAAGCTGATAGTCTGCACTTCAGTCACAATCTTGACTGTTTGCTTTAAAACCACAGCAGTGGTGCACAGAGTCAAAAAAGGGAAAAAAGTATCAATAAAGGACCTGACTGTATATTGTCAGTTTCATTATTCTGCAAAACAAGACAACAGACAATAAACAAAGTTATTGATGAAGTTGACTGATGACATTATTGATGTGGTGCTGTGATGATATTTAGGTTGTCATGCGTTTTCTTTTTCTTTTTTTTCTCAACCACAATAGTCATGAAGGGAAAAATATGACACCGTGACAGCTCGACTCCAGCCCTTCCCATCCCTGTCTTATAGCAGATTATAAAAGCCCTACTGGCTCAACATTTATTAAATTTTTCAAATTTTATAAATGTTCCTCATTTAGCTGGCTTTTCTTAGCACAAAATAGAAAATTTGTAATTTGTCTCTGTGTGTTCACTCTTTTGAGCCTCTTATCTTTCCCATTGCCTAGCCACCCAGCGCTAGTTCATTAGCTTCGGTGTAAAGTGAATATTAGGAAACATTCAGTGACTTTCAGAATACCACCAGTGACACTGGCAATGAAACAATCCACTGTATAGTTTCTTGTAGTTGCTTTCCCTGTTTTAAAGATCCTCCCGAAATGTATCCGCGATATCCTGTTCTTAAATGCAAACATGCCAGTAATGGGCCTATCACGGGTGGACCGTGAAGCTTGACCTGACAAGAGCACTACAGTAGGCTGCGTGTCATGTCCTGCCACATCAGGACATTGTCACCTGTTCCCCCAAACCTCAGCCCTCACTTATAGCTGCTGACAGCCACCATGTTTCACCAAGTGTTGACACAGTGAATGCCACCGACACTTATCTCCACTTGCCTTTGTCCTGTCCTAGTCCGGAGTGTCAAGGCCAGTTCCGGGGCGCTTAACGTCAGATATATGACTGACTGCTTTCATTGGAGTGAGAAGCAAAAGGACAAAAAGGTGGAGGTACAGGTAGTGAGAGAAAATAAGATTGCAGAAAAAAGGAAGGAGTGCTCCAAACCCTCCTGGTGGGTTTCGCTTGCAGCAGCAATACTAAGGGGCTCAGCTCAGGCCTGAGTTATGCCTCCCACTGACACTCCAATCAGACCAGAGCCACTGTGAGGCAACCTATGAAAGGTTGTGCCCCTCAGTTGCTTTTTAAATCTCATGCTATATATTTTTAACTCCGGCTGCACCTACCATCCAAACGGAAAACATTTGATTTATTCATTCATTAGGCAATTTTTTTCCCCACAGTGAGACATTTATTTGCTGTTTGTGTAATACGTGCTGGGAGTGTATGAGTGTCACTGTGTAGTAGCTGCTGCATGACACCACGTCGTATTAAAATAAATGTGACAAAAGTGTACATACATTAGTTTTTTTCTCCCCCCGCTGAGTTCATTCTTCATTGCACATCAGCTTTCATCTACATTGCCATCAATCACGTTTTTTTGCCCATCTCCAAAACACAAGTTTGTTTTTGTCTTTCTGTAATATTCTGAGCTTGTTGTGCATGAAGTTCATATTGCAAATATACCAGCCTGTGCATTAATGAATAAATCTCTGTTTCTTTTCCGCCACAGCTCTGTGCTAAATTTTGATTCTAAGAATATGTGTGTTGATGTAATGATGTGTTTGCCCCCGGAGAAGCAGTGAATCAGGAAGCAGCTTTTTATTTTGAGGTAGCCACTTAGTCACCTGCTTCACTAGATTAGGCCATTAACCGTGACCAAGTAAACTCCGATCTGATTGGTTAAGAAGACTTAGTCATCGGCCCAGATGTATCTGTAAAGGATTATCATTTCTCACTGTAAACCAGAATCCGATTGGGATCTGTTGCGTACATATCTTCCTCTGACAACAGATGAGTGAGAGCTGTATATCACATCTATGTGACACCTCCCACATCAGATCAACTCAATGAATAGATTAGAACAAATGGAGCTCGAATGTTTTGTATCGCTCTCCCAAAGGGATTTAACTGTTGTCATGGAGACACGATGTGAATCAACAAAAGAGGTGACTGATAACATTGACATGACTAATCTCTTTTTTTTCTTATTTCTGCCCCCTGTTCCTTCTTCCTTTCTGCCATTCTCTTTGTATCTGTGGCCCATTTGTTTTGAATAGCTTGTGTAGGATATCGTTTTGCCTCTCTGAACCCCTCCTCCTCCTCCTCCCTTCTCTGACTGTACTTTTCATGCCTTCTCACCCCATGCATCCCCTCCTCCTCTTGTCTAAGATAAGTGTGTGTACAGAGAAGTGTCAGCTATAAATCATATTTCACTGTGCAGCCTTCTCAGATACCAGCAAGATAAAGGAATCCATAAATAAGGCCACATCATATATAGTACAACTTATTGCTTTGCTTTAAAATGTAACAGGGCCATGAATAACCAAGGGAATAATGTAAAAAAAAAAAAAAAAAAAAAGAAACAGGCTAAGTTCTCTTATAGAGGTTTACAAAAAAAGGGTGTCTGGACAAAATGCATCTAAGTAGTTGTCTTCTGTGTTGAGCATGCTAATGTGTTGGGGTGCATAACGATGAGGAGCGCCTGCAGATCGATGCAGATTAGCCTGTTCAGGATGTGGTCTGCGATTAGCTGTTCTTGAGGATTTTGAATTTTGGCTCTCAGTCACCATAGCAACCAGAATACAATACCATCCTTTTAAATCCGAGCCCATTGCTTTCTTTCCTTTTTTTTATTTCTCCTGCTCTCTTCTTAATATCCTTTCCATTTCTATCTGTATTCCTTTCCTTTCTTTTTTCCTTCCTTCCTTATAGTCTCTGTGTTTTTCTTTCTCCCTCTCTGTTCCGATGTCATCCACACTTTTTGCACTCCTGCTCCTTCTCATTCTCACCATTCTCAGGGCTTGTGGGGGGGACAAAAAGAAAGGCAGGGAGTTGGACAGAGACGGGGAGAAGGCGGGAGAAAAAACAGGGAGAGAGACAGGGGAGAGTCTGTGAGTGAAAGTGATACAAAGCAAGGGAGGGGGAAGGCAAGAAGCTGCACCGAATGCAGGGGGGAGCACGAGTGAAAATGAGAGTTTCTTGTCTTGTCTCCCAGCTCTAGCTAGCCAGTCAGTAATTCAGTCTATTCCTCAGACAGAGGCTTTTTTCATCCCTCTACCTCTGGATGTGCTTTATCTGGCTGGAGTGTCGCTCCAGCTGGGTATCAAAAACTGCTCCAGGAATAAAATAAACAGCATTTTGCCAAAAGTGAAGCAGAAATTTTAACTGCTTGCAATCCCAAGCAGGACTGTACAAATAAATTGTGGCGGCATGATAGGCCTGTGTAAAAAGGAGGCGCGAGGTAGCATTGTGTAATTAGCCAGTGTGTTTTCCCTATCACTGTCAGGCCAGATTAGGCTTCTCCCTGCTTAGGAGATGTGTCAGAGTACCTCTCTCTTTATTCTCCCTAATGGCTTCCTGCATGTCTATATTAGGAAGTGGGTCTGCCTCCTGGGAGGCAATGCAAAACCAAATACAAGCCTAATAGTTTGGTTTATATGAAGTAAATGACTCACCACGTTTTTAGATGAGATAGCTGATTGCTATAATAGAGCTGGACTGCAAAAAAAAGCGTGGACAGTCATTTGTTTCTCGTACAGCTGATATGAAAAGAATAATGCTTCCAGTTCCATTAGTAGGCCAGAAGACTGAATGAATACAGCTGGTATCTGGGAGGTGATCGTCAGCTTGTCTGTTTGTGACCACTATGTGCTATAACTTCTTTATCTGAATCTGCGCTGACCCTTGATCAGAGAGGATGGACGGCTTTGTGAATATGTTAATGATGGCCGCTCTTGCAGACATACGAGACACTGGGGCCAAGCCCGTGATGGTCTACATCCATGGAGGGTCCTACATGGAGGGGACAGGCAACATGATCGATGGGAGCGTGCTGGCCAGCTACGGAAATGTCATCGTTATCACTCTCAACTACCGCGTTGGAGTCCTCGGTAAGCATCCTTTCCTCTCTCTGTTTTTTTTTTATTTCCTTCACCTTATTCTTCAAGGACATTTTCTGGGGCAGTTTTGCAGGCCACCTAGCTTAGAAGTAATGAGCTCTGCTGATTGCCACATACACTCTAAATAAGGCTGAAAGAGAGAGAGAGAGAGAGAAAAGCAGGACTGTAAATACATGGACTGGCTTGTTGATGTAGTGCTCATGTATCAAAATCACAGTAATTGAGTGTGCTGCATAATGTGGGTTTGTTGTTGTGACTGGGGTTTAGAATAAATTAAGAAATTATTGAAATGAAGTAGAAAAAATGATAAGATGGGCGTGATGCTGGAAGGATAGAGGAGTGCGGAAGAGTGTGCTGGAGAGAAAGAGAGGTTCTCTCTGAGTTGCGGTTGGTTGCATTGACTCATGCAGCTGAATCCCCTTTCAGACACTTGTGCATGTGTGTGTATGTGTAAGCCTGTGTGTGTGTGTGTGTGAGAGAGAGAGAGAGAGAGAGAGAGAGAGGGAAGGGAGAAGCTGAGAAAGAAAGAGTGAGAGAGCAAAAAGGAGAGACAGAGAGCTCCATGGAAACAGCTGCAGCAACACAAAATGGAGTTTGTTAGTGCACTACCCGAGCTTTGTACCTTTTCCATCCATCTCTCTGACACAGTTGATTTCCCTCCTCACTTATTTTTTTTTTTTACATTTAGAGTGGATGTGGCCTGACTACAAACAATTTGAATATAAAATGAAATTTCCATGTTGCTGAATTTCTTTAGAATATTGCTTCCGATTTTATCGAACTTGTTGGCAGCTGTTAGCATAAAGGATATAGCTGCTTTATTCTGTGTTTCCTATTGTCAGTAAATCCCATGAAAAGACAAAAACCCATACTTCCTCAGTGCTTTCAGACTTCACTGCCCTATCAGCCCAAACCCAGTTGCTTCCAACGTACTCTGAATATTTAAAAACATTTTATTTTCAGGCACAATTTAAAACAAGCCCGAGAAACTTAGTCACCACCAGAAAAAGGGGCAAAAATGGGGTGCTGGAACGAAGTGATTGAGCAATGCAGATAAACACCAAAAGCACAGTAAAACAGCAAAATCTAAAGATCGCTAACATTATACAACATTAGCAACCGTTGCCATTACACACTGAGCTGGCCTGTAGCAGAGCACGTGATTGCATTTAGCTGAGCATTTTGTGTATTAGCTTTCGGAGCTGCTGTAGCGTGTGCAGGATTAACTCACAAAAAAACAAAAACTGTCCAATGAATTATCATAATAAATGCATGCAACTCAGGAGGAAATGGCTTGGTGAATGTATTTATAGTTAGAGAATAACAATGTGCAATTATGGATTTATTTATATAAGATGTGGATATAGGCATTATTCTGCTTTATTAGCTTTTTGGCTCCAGAAGAGACTGTTTTCAGATGGTTGGGATGCTAGCCAATGCTAGCAGGCTTGGTTAGTGTTGGGTGTAACACATTCCAAATATTTTTCAGTAAGGCAATAATGTAACATTACTGTACTACATTACAGTTACAATTAGGTATTACTTTCAGAAATACTCTATATTTATCTGTACACTGTGAATAGAAGGAAAAAACAAACAAATAAATATATTTTTCTTTGTCTGCATGTTTGCGCTACAGTCAGCTGATTCCATCTCGTATACTGGGAGGAAGAAAACGGTTTAGCGATCTACAGCTTTTGAGAAGTGGAAATATAGACATTACTTTTATTTTTATTACACAAAAGGACAAAAGTGCTGTTGTGAAATGCAAACTGTGTCCGGGACGGAGCCAACTGCTACACTGCTAACACAACTGTGGCTCTCGGCAAGCATCTGCACAGACAGCATGCTAACACAAAGCTAGCAAAGAACCCAGAGTAAATGGTGAATAGACTGGGTTTTGTACAGCACTTTTCTACTCTACTCAACCACTCTAAGGACTTTGTACAACCTCTCATTCACTCAGTCACACAAACATTCGTACATTGAATATGTGTGTGACTTTTTTCTTCATCTAAGTGCTTTCTATCTAAAATTCACATTTAAACTGAGTGTAGCTTTAGCAACACCTGAGCTCATCGGCCAGACCCTGAATTTGAACCAATACCAAAGCCAGTGATGAGCAGTGAGGCTTGCAGCTTTTTCACCTCCATTTCCACCTGTATGTGTTTCTACAGTAGCATCACAGTGCCTTAAAAGCCTTTTTTTTTTTTTACTTTGTAAGTGTTGTGTTCATATGTAAAAACTAAAAGTGAGATCATCTGTGTCCTCATTAGGATAGACATTTGCAGGATAGACTTTTAATTATGTGACAATGCCTTTCAGGTTAGTTTATGGAGTAACACCAAAGTACAGTAACAATAACATAAAGTAACAAAGTTGAGTGCAGTATTACTTTTATGAAAAGTAATAAGTAATGTGTAATAAATTACTTTTTTGAGTAACAACCCCAATTGCACAATGTAAAAAGTCATCCTTCATACATATTTGATATATAAATTGCTGGGTGGTCCAGATAGAGGCTAATCATGTAGATTAATGTATTTCTACTTTGGTAAACAATTTGCATCACACTGGTTTCTCCAATCCACTGTGATTCTCTCCTAAAGTGATGGACAACTGGAAATGAAGAGAGATACTACTGAGTCTGTTTGAGGGCAGCTGGAGCTGTACAATTCAACTAGTGTTGACTTTTTTCTCTTGTTTAAACAACTAGCAAATAAATCACCAGAAACGTCCCTAGTTCATGGTAAGTTGTGAGAATATGTTACTGTAACTTGTTTATTGGTTGCACTAGTCCTTATACCCATGACTGCTAGGGCTGAATATTCACAGGTTGACACTGAATTAATGTGGTAAGGTGAGGTGAAATGAAACTTTGCTTCACTTTTGGTGTGAACGTACATTAAACTGTATGAGTGCATATGTACATATATGGTTACAGCCATAGATACCTTTGATTAGTGCTAAGAAACATTGTCTTTCATTCTCCAAACTGAAGCACGGATATCTTGAACACACTGTTAACATTTAAAAAGTCACATCAAGACATGCTATCAGTCAGTATATTAAAATTTTAAAAATTCCATAGCCACCTGTGTAATGGTCAGAGAATCTGATCAAGTCTCTAATAGTGCTACTTTCATTCAGACTGCATAATTTAAACTGTGGAAAGAAAAAACATCTCCATCAGCAGCTCATGAGGTTGTAGCTTGGGAATGCCTATAACAGTTAACAGTTGTTGAAAAATAAACTCCTCCCAGCTCTACAACCTGTGATGAGCTGTCACATGTGATTTATTTTTCAAAAGGGCAACAGACATGTGGGATGAAAACGACTGAGCTACAGTACATCATGATTTGGGTTGTCAGGCAAATAAATTGTTAGCAGGATCAATTCATGATTGCTCGTAGTAGCCTTCATGACACTTGTTTTCAACAGTAAAAATATAGGATGTCACCGGTTTTATATATTAAAAAAAACTGTCTGCCTCACCTTGGTGCTCAAAGAATCCAACACATTAAGAGCAGGAGGGTGACTGCTTTATCCTCCAGGACATTCAGATGCTGAATCACAGAAACTGCATTCATCTTAGACTCTCTTTTTGATGGAGATCACAGAGCCACGGCTTATCGATTTTATCATCAGGATTGCTCACCTTGAATACTGTGTGTTTTCCTCTGTCATTTTTTTCCCCAAGTATCATTTTGAGCATTGTAATCAGCCTTCGGGGTGGTAAGATAGTCAGAGGACTGGCTTAGCATGCTGCCTCATGCTCCTGCCCCTGGTTAAACCTGAGCACGTAAGCCCAATACAGATTCTTGTTCATATTTCTTTCATGGCACTTCAATTATGAGTCAGATGTTTCTTCTCTCACTGCCACATTTCAGTAAATGTCATTCTACATGCGTGCACACACACCCTTATACACCACATACAAATACTCGTGAACACCCATGAGCACATTCACACGCATACTACCGGCCACATTAAAACACACACGCATGCACACACTATGAGTGCAGGCATTGGGACAAAGCAACAGCAACCCCCACACACATATACTGATGTTGTTTGGCAGCTTGCACAAACGCACACACTCCAAAATGCAGTTCACAAAGCAGCTCTCTTGGTGAGCTCCCCAACAGCCATTCTGAGCAATGAGCGGAGAAGAAGCGATGCATGTAGTTGAGCGATAATGTCCATCACTGTAGCATGGCCTGATAATCTCCCTACGGTACGGCTTTAAACTGTTATTACCGACACACTCATATAAACCAAATAAAACCAGGGCCAGAGAGAAATCGCACCATGACAGACCAATTAACACTATGCTGTCTGCATATATTCGGCCATAAAGTACAAATTGTAATACTCAGAGTGTGAGAATTCATAATTACATGATTTTATTTCTATTTGTTTGCATTTTTATATAGAAAATGAGTGTCGTTAACAGTGTCAGCCCTAATCTACCCTAAACTGTATTAAATGGAGGGGATTAACTGCTTGATTTGAATACAGTGAACTGCAGGCTTTAACAGCTAGATAATATATGGTCATATATGGTCATCTGACATGGGTGGGTGGGGGGAGTCTGTTCGAGCTGTGATAGGGCGAAAAGGCAGGGTACAGGTGGCCAGTGCATTGCAAGGCCAATACGTAGAGACAGGAAACCATCCTACGCCTACAGCCGTGGATTGGAGGTCTCTGAGCTGTGGGAGCAAGCCAGAGTACTCTGATAGAAAACGTGCAAACTCCACACAGAAAGGCTCCAGCCGGGCCTGTGTCTCCTCGTTGTGAGACGACTAAACCACCGCAACACCTATAAATGAAGAATAAATAAATCATTAAAACGGTAAATATTTGCTTTGTTAAAATTAAATAAAAAAAGAAAGCTGTTTTAATTAGGCTGCTTAAAGGGATGAGCGAATTAGACGAGATGATTTTTAAAGTGAAAACAGACAAGGCAACTCAAAGTACAATTTCTGACA